AGAGTGTATATCCAGTGTATACAGAGTGTATATCCAGTGTATACAGAGTGTTTCGAGTGTTTTTTCTGATGTGTTCTTCTTTCTCTCCAACTTATGCTCTATTTATAGCAGTTATTTGAGAGAAATCCATCCCCTCTATGGTGCAACAAGCACTAGACTATCATGGAGGAAGCACTTACATGGTGGAATGTACACTTGTTTGGTGGGAGGAGCACTTGCACCATTGTGGGAGGTGCACTAGGCTGCTTATTGCTTAGTGTTGCAACACAATACACGGATTGGAAAATATCCGTTACAAACNCCAGTTACAAAACAAAAACTTCAGCTCTAGAGCTGAACTTCAGGCCCGTCTACTAGAATGCTGAAGTTTTGTGTGATTGCCTTTGCTACTTCAGCCCCGTATGCTGAAGTTATGCGAAAAAGTGAGTACGTTTGCAATTTTTTTTGTAAAGCAGGCACAAGTTAAAATGTGACACAAAAAGCGGGTATAGATGCAAATGTCCCGTCAATAAATGATGGGGCATTTGCATCTATACCCGCTTTTTGGGTCACGTTTTAACTTGTGCCCGCTTTGCAAAAAAAAATTTGCAAGTTTACCCACTTTTTCGCGTAACTTCAGTATACGGGGCTGAAATAGCAAAGACAATCACGCAAAACTTCAGCATTCTAGTAGACGGGACTGAAGTAGCAAGTGTGCTGAAGTTTTTGTTTGTAATTGCTGAACTTAAGCATAGTAGCTGAAGTTTTGTTCTCTATTTGCTGAAGTTTTTGTTTGTAATTGCTGAAGTTTTTGTTTTTGTATCTAGAGCTGAAGTTTTTGTTTTGTAACTGGCGAACTTCAGCTCTAGAGCTGAAGTTTTTGTTTTTGTAACTGGCGAACTTCAGCTCTAGAGCTGAAGTTTTTGTTTTGTAACTGGCGAACTTCAGCTCTAGAGCTCTAAGGGGCATGTTGTACCCACACGAAGTAACTTAAAGCAACATTAACAGGAACAAGGAAACATCAACATATTACCAATCCAATCGACAACTGAAATCTCCAATTTCCGCCAAACCCAATTCACCAAACAACAATATAAAATTAATAATTAATTTCTCTTGTCTCAAAATTGTGCATAAGGTTCAAGTTGCAAAACCAAGATAGAACCTTTACAACTGAGGGTGTCGGCGAAAAGGAAAAAATGATTGAAAAGAGAAATAAGAAGAAGGAGAGGATGAATCTTACTTCTAGAAAAAGAAAAGATAAAACTTTGAGGAGGAGAAAGGGACTAAAGTTGTTTAAAAAGTGGGTATAAATTAAAACTGTTTAAAAAAAATTGGTATAAGTTAAATGGGGGCGACCAAATAGGGCGCCCCGTGCAATTTTTACATAAATGATTCATTGCCCAATCCATTCAAAAGTATACTTGGACTAAGATGGGATGAGTCAAAATGGACTAAACAATGGATCATAGCCCAACCCACTCAACTTGACCCATGTTTTAGAACCATCCTTATCTTGCATAAACAAAGTCTTTTACTTTGTATACACTTATGTATAAAAGGTAAATAAATACTATTAATATTTTGAGAATCAAAATATATTTTCTTAAATAACAAATTAGTATTTAAAGTTTGTAAGTATAAAAATATCTTTGATGTAATTTTTAAATAAGTAAATTTCATTACAACTCAGTTATATAATTAGGCAAAATACCTTAAAACCTCCTTATACTTGACACGGATTATTAGTTACAGCCTTAAACTATTCGTGGTCTTAATTACCCCCCTCAACTTGGCTTTTTGAGAGTCATTAGCCCCCCCTCCCTCCGCGACGCTAAGGTGGCAAAGAGTGTGGGCGCACTTGCCTGCCACGTGGACTTTTTAGTATATGTGGCATTTTTTTAAAAATAAAATATATTTTACCTTTTTAAGTATGTTACTTTTTTAGATAATTTTTTTCGAATATAATTTATAATAAAATATCGATAGAACTACATTATTTAGGCTACATTTTTTTATTTGGCGAAAGATAATAAAGTTTTAGTTAATATTTTTTTGAATTTGACCTGAAAATAAAGATTTATACAATTGAAATAAATAGTCAAAGCATCTAAAAAGTTATAAAAATATACATAGTTTGAAATTAATTATTCTGGCTATAATTTTTTATATAGCTCTAAAATTAAAAGCACTTATCTCTTTTCGGTGTAACCAGTGGCGGAGCCACCTTATTTGACACCCCTTCGCGGGAAAAATACATTGTATAGGTAGGTAAAATAAATAAATTATATGTATATATACTATGCATTGACTCCCCTTAATTTGCTAGTATGTTTATTTTTATATATTTTGACACCCCTTAACAAAAATTCTGTCTCCGCCACTGGGTGTAACAACACTTATTTCCAATAAGTAGTAAAATTATATGGCTATGCCTTTTATTTTTCTTGCAATTTTAACAATCGTATCAAAACAAATCACGAAAAAAGCCGAAGGAAGCAAAATCCATGTTTAAGACGTCGTTAGTATTAACCCATGAGTCAATATTTTGATATTAAATTATATACTTTTACCCAAAAAAAAAGAGTTCGCACATATAATTATTGTATCGAAGTCAAAGACTAGGAGGTGGCTGTTGACTCAAAGATTAGAAAGTCAGCCAAGAATTTGAATTGGACCCCACTGTCAGGTTGTCTTCCAATAAATCCAATTCTTTTCGATAAATTTTCCACTTTTCTTTGGCCAAAGTCATACCTTGAAGCAAAGAGTAAAGGCAAGCATACATTTACAAGGGCTATTTCCGAACACGAAAAAAGTCAATATTATTTCTCTAAACCTATCTTACTTGTTAAATTCGATTTTAATTTTTCTCTATCAGAAAATAAAGTTTTGTCGCAAGGATAAAGACTTTTTATTGATTTTAAAGTAGTGACAACTGAATGCGTACATTTATATATTTGAGTAATATTTTCTTAATATTTCATTCCCACAAAATCATCAATTTTTTTTTCTAGAAACAAATAATATAGTTTCCGGAAAAGATTTCCAGACTATTTAGGAGATATTTTCATATAACACGAAGGCTGATATTTCTTTTCCCTAAATCATATTAAATCTTTTAAATTCTCAGCTATCAGAATATTTTTAAAAGTTGATTGATTTTGTGTGTGTGTGTAGTTTTTCAATTGTTGTACCAAATCTAATTATTCTTATCAAATATATTTCTGATCTTCTTCTGACTATCCTTGCCTCATACTTTAGACCATTAAAATATGAACACGCATACATTATATATGTGAGTAATATTGCAGTACCCTAACAATATCTTTCCAGCAAAGTCGCCAAATTTTCTTTAATTAGTGTCAATATCATAAATTCATCTTAATCTTATAACAGAGTCAAAATCTTTCTTCTACATACGTATGTGATGGATTTATTAGTCACGGAATTATTGGAGTTTAAACATTTGAGTGAATCATGATATTGACTTATGATGATAGATGCAAAACACAGTGATATATATATGACATCTGTTTCCAAAGACAAAGTACAAGGCTTAGAGATATGGCCACTCTGGTCAATTATAGGAATTATAACATGAGATGTTCTTTCCTATTTTGAGTTAGCGTGGTCTCTTTGGTTGTGCAAAATTGTTATTTTTGGGTTTAAATTTTTTCATCAAATAAATTGGCAATTGACGACTTTCATTAGAAATTTACTTGCATCCTCTCTTATAATTAGTCTCTTACTCTTTCCCTTTATCAACAATCAGAATCACTACCATAATCTCTTTTTTTCAACCTTTCAGGAATGACCAGGCTCGTGAAGCAGTATTTGTTTCGTATTGATATTGGGCATACGAAACTTCCAAAAAACAAAGATCAATCATGGTTGCTAGCTATGTTGAAAAAAGAGAGGAAAATTAAGAATTGTTTTTAGATCGCAATGCTAATAGCCTGTTTGGCCAAGCTTTTCTTGGGCCAAAAATTGAAGTGTTTGGCCAAGCTTTTAGAGGGGAAAAAAAAGTGTTTTTGAGGAGAAGCAAAAGCAGTTTTTGAAAAGCAAAAAAATGTAGCTTCTCTCCAAAAGCACTTTTCTGAGAAACACTTTTGAGAAAAATACACTTAGAAGCAGTTTTCAAAAGCTTGGTCAAACACTAATTACTGTTCAAAAGTGTTTTTCAAATTAATTAGCCAAACACAAATCGATTCTTATCAAAGTACTTTTTTGAAAAACACTTTTAATAAAAGCACTTCTCAAAATAAACAGATTTTAGAAGTTTGGCCAAACAGGCTATAAATCGATAGGCGATCCTTTAGGCATCAAGAAAAGATTGACACACAATGAGAAGGAAACTAGATAAATGGCACGGTATATATATTATCGTCGACTTGTCATTATCAGAAGCAGAAATTGATATAGTAAATGAATGAGAAGTACAATACTCACTAAGTGTAAGAAACAAGAAAAAAATAGTAAAAGCTTTTTAAAGTTGTGGTTTAAAATAAATTATAGATACTTGTATGGTTATTCGCATTAAGGATAAAATAAAATTTACAAGGCTAAATTATATCTAAATATAAAAATATGTATTTTTTTTTCTGGAGAGACCAAAAAGAATAATATGTCACATAAATTTGATAGAGGGAGTACAAGAAACTTAAAATTCGAAAAATTGAAGTGGCTAGACTTAAAAATGTACATAGTGCCGCTGAGTCGATTTATTTTTGAACTAGTTTGAATCTTATGCGAACTTATTCAAACAACCTTGCAAAATCATAAACTGCTAAATCTGATAGTACTTTTATTGAGAATTTGAGAAATAGATTAGGCACACAGTTGATTGATATGCTAATATGCTGTTGATGAATGTATATTTTCTACGTGCACGCGTCCAAAATAAGAACTGGTGGAGTGTATCAACTAGAAGTAATCTTATTGTATATATATAATTCTACCTGTACCAAATCCAGAAAGTAGAAGAAATTAAAAGATTCCAATATCATTGAGAATATTTTCTGATTTCCTAACAAATCCTCAGTCATGATCACATGACCTTTTGCGTTTAATTAGACAAATTATGATGTCACAATAGATCAGTACAAGTAAATACATAGTATATAACAATTAATTATTTCTGAAAAGAATCATTCTACTACATTCCTCTTTTCTTTTCCTTTATCTTCTTCTTATATAAAAATAAAAATAAAAACAAATTCCTCCGTTTTAAGTTCTAGCTCGAACGAGTGGTGAATGAGGGATAGGAGATGAAAGTGGTGACAAATTAACACTTTCATCGTACATTCTTTTCGAGAAACTAAGTCGTAGATTGTTCTTTTTCCATTGCTGCTTCTTCTCCATTAATATTGGAGTCGATTCATCTCCACTTTTCTTAACACCCACAAAACTCCGAATCCTCGCTAATGCAATATCCACAGTTTCATCATCCATGTTAGCGAAACAAACTCGAAAAAATCCTGGCTCTTGACAATCAAATGAAGATCCCGGCGAGACATTAAGCTTCACGTCATTTATAATCACTCTCCATAATGACATTTCTGAGTCGAAAGTTGACTCTTTCAAAAGTGGTCGCAAATCCATCCAACAGAAAAGTCCAGCATTGCTTCTCAAGCATTTAATTCCAACTTCTTCGAGTCCGTTAGTGAAATGTTTGTGTCTTTTAGCTAATCTCTTCGAGCTTTCAGTTAGAAAATTTGAGACGAATCTTTCGTCGGATAACATCTCAGCGAGCAAATACTGTGTTTGAGTGGAAACTAAACCAAAACTCGACATTTTTCTAGCACAATTAACGACGGCATCGTTGAATGAATACACGATTCCGACTCTGAATCCTGGTAAGCCCATGTCTTTTGAAAGACTGTATACGATATGAACCAAATCTTTGTTGCAATGGCTCGTTTCGTCGTCGAGAATTTCAGCAATGCTGACGAATTGAGGTGTATTAAAGACAGTTGCGGCGTAAATTTCGTCGCAAACGAGGTGGATGTTATGTTGGTTGGTGAAGGTCAAGAGATTTTTCAGTGTGTCTCTGTCCAAAGTGGTGCCTAATGGATTTGATGGGTTGGTCAAAATCAAGCCTTTGACTTTGATGTTTGATTTCTGGGCATTTTCATATGCTTCTCTCACAGCTTTTGTAGTGATTTGGAAGTTGTTGGAACTGTCGCAAGGAATTGGAATGAGTTGTACTCCAGTTCTCCATCTTAAGTCCCGGTTAAATCTGCATTAATTAATTAATTGCCAAAATATTATTAGTTAGAGTATTATATATAGAACAATTGACCAAATTGAAAAAGAGAAAGAAAAGTATTGTAACATCCCCACGTGGGTCTTTCAAGTTATTATTTTATTGTTTTTCTTTAAATTGTTAAATTGTTCATTTAGTGAAAACAAGAGAATATATACAAATGGAGCAGCAATCTTGACTTGTATCTTTTAAATCTTTGACACGTCATTATCAATGTCTAAAAATTTATATTAGCTCGAGTGTCATGGTCAAGCAGGAAAGAGCGTACTCAATTACTCTAAAAAGTTCAGAAGAATTGACCACTACATACCTTAGTCATCTTTTTCATTTTGGGTTTACTTGTCTGTTTGACAATTGTTATATCACTAATTCCATTTCTCTTATTTTCCCTAATCAAATATAATATAGTGTGAATACTGAGCTGTTTATCCAACTTCACCATCAAACTGGATTCCACTACAGGAAAATATTACGAAAAATTGAAGAGCTTACGTGGATGACCCCGACAATTAAGGTTAAATTCTCCAAGTCAATGGTTACGCCGTCCAACATAAAGAGACACAATAAATTCCCACATTATTTCTTGTTTCTTTTAATTTCCTTTAATGTAATAGTCAACATAAAAAGATATGGAAAACGAAATATACTCCCTGGAGAATGCAAGAAATAAAACAAATGAAAATATAATGAGTAAAATAAAAATGCATACGCTGGATAGTATGGTGAAGGTACTAAGAATGCATCGCCTGTATCAGCCAAACAAAATATAATTGTTTCGTTGGCTCCAGTTGCACCACCAGCCATAACTACTCTCTCTGGATCAAACGTAACCCTTCCCCCTCTTGTTTTCTCCATAAATTTCGCAATAGCCTGCAACAGATATAATATAATTAAACTCATATTATTCTGACGAGGTTTTACATTATCAGTGCAATTTAACTGACTATAGCGTGATACTATACGTACGCTTCTGAATTCAGGTAGGCCGTGATAATCTTGAAAGTTGGCAATGGCCCTGAAAGATTTGATTCCTTCTGTGGTGCAAATTGAAGCGTTTGGATTTCTCTTAATCCATTCCTCAATCAAGTCAAAACAAAGCTGCAAATAAATTTGACAAACCGAGGTGAGAAAAAAAAAAAAAATATATATATATATATATATAAGCATGCATCATCTTCTTCTTAATTCAGAGAAAGCAAATATAGTAAAGAACATAGAAATCATAGAGGAATACTGAATCATAAGTTTGAGTAAAAACCTGATTTTCAGCAAGACCCATTTGGATAACACCATTAGGGTTCTTCAGAGGGTGAAAAGGATCGTTATCGTATGCTTTCCATCCATCAAAATATGGCGAGTTTTCACCATGTTCTTCATTAGTAGCGAGCTTAGATAAGATTGAGCTGTTCTTCTCATTCTCAAATCCCATTTTTCTTAACGAGTTTAAAGTGAAAAAAATATTGGAGAAGATGAAAATGGGATCAAAATATATATATATATATATGTGACTACTACTTCTGTCTATAGAAAAGCTGGTTGCTTAGATTGTAGTGGTGTTGGGAAGAGAATGAGGAATAAGTGAGGGATATATATAGGGAGAAGGACTAAAGTAGCGAAACACCAAATAACGTAGGAGAATATTAGATGGCAATAAAAATAGAAAAGTCTATTTCATTGTTCAACAGTTTGGAAAATAAAAGTACCCAAGAAAAGAAAGAAACTGAATTAAACTATGATTCTTACTTCTTTTTTTCCTCTTTCTTTTTGTTGGTTAGACGAGTGGGTATTTGACTAATTTAGTCGTAATTGCTTGCGTCTGAAATGAAATTTAATGTTTCAAGCTAGAAGCTACACGTGAGAAAGAAAAAAGGTTGAATTTGGTAGTAGCTGGAGTAGTATATTATTTTCATTTCTTTTTTCTTTTTCAAGTAGTATGGTGCTTTGATTTTTCATTATAATGGAGGCTTAATTATCATGGGCTGCTTGGCTTAGTCTTGGTTAGGCTCGAATTCCCCGCTCATCAGTATATTTTGGTATCAAATAGGAAAAACTCCAAATAAAAATGTGGGGGAATTCATTCTTGTATTTCTGTTTGTTAGAGGAAGTTTCCCAACAAGCATCACATAGAAAATGCATCCATGACTTTTCGAAGCTTGTATTGGTCATTAGAACACAAATGGAATTTCATATAGTAGTAAAATTTGACTATGTTATTGTTGAATTTTTTTCAGCTTTCTATGGGCGGTCATTTTTATTTCTAAGATGGATTTATTTAATAATTAATTAGCATTTTCAAATATTTGCACCATTCGATAATCGACATGGTACTAAATAATAACCTAAATAAAATTGACGTGCTAAATACTTCTTAATTAACTCAAGTTAAATAAAATTCGAATCCTGTATTTGGTTTAAAAAATCCATTGAATATGTATAAATTATTACTTTAGAACCTAGTAACTTAAAACGATTAGAATCCCGAACCCATAAGCTTAAAATTACGGTTCCGCCTCTACAAATATACTCATTTATTTTATGGTATTGTTCAATCTGCTTCCAAAATAGAGGATACGCTAGCTTTAATTATGGGATTGTTACACAAATAGTTGGTCAGATTCAATGTTTACTTTCTCTGGCATGTATACATTAATTATATATAGTTATGCATATATTATATATGAATTATATGTATTTTATACATCCGCGGGCTATTTTTAGTTTAAGAGATTAGGTAGACGGCTAATTGTGTTAATTTTTCTTTAATTATCCAATTTGACAGAAGAAAAGGTCAATACAGTAAAATGTGGTCGATTAAAACGTTCAGTAATAGTACAAAATCCGAATTCCGTACAAGGACGGAAAGAAGGAAGTATAGTAGAATTCATTTTGGGTCCCGGCCTTCTGGTTTGGTAGTAGAACTATTCACATCCAAAATGAGGACATAACTTGTGACAACGAGAAACGAATTGTTTCTGTAGTACGGACTATTACTTGAAATGGGGATTGCTTGTTCCAGTTTTTTTGGGAGGTCAACAATACACATGTCTGGAAAATTGGGACTTGACTGAATTAGAGTGTGTGTGTGTGTATTTTTGTGTTTGATAACGTGGGTAGTTCCAATTCCTTGTGAGGAATCAAACAATCCAAGTTTCATGTGGGACGGTTCCTTTAGAATTCAGAAACTCAATTAGAACCTTTGGTTTCAATTATTGAATGCACCGACCAAGAAATTCGTATACACATAATATTGCCCTAATCGAAATCATTTGCATTTCCCAACCAAATCTTTATTCGGAAACAATGGTAATGCAAGGAACCATACGTATGTTTTTTCGATTAAGAATTTAAGTTATATATTGTATACGGGTAATTAAAACTGGAGGTAACAAGCATCCCGATTTCCTGTTGGGGCGAACGAAGAGAGGACTTAACTGCATGCAGTTGAGATCAAAGTCGGAAGCCGCCCGTATCAAAGTTATTCAAAGTTCTTGTTTTTGTTCGTAAGTTCCTCATAAGTATCAAGCTCGGGACCGAAGGCAGGTTTCTTATTAAGCATTTAACCAAGCTCGGAATCAGTCCTGCTATTGGTTTGGCTATTTACTCAATCTTTTATTTGCATATTGATCGCAGCGGACTCAATCTAAGGAAGAGTGGGCGCTAATACTTTTACCCAATAGCGGTATCGGGGTCAATTTTTCACAGGGAGCTTCAATTTGGAGTTGAGTGTTTGTATGGTCTAGGACTATGTTTTAGCTCCTAATTGATCTTCTAACATTTTTGGTTTTCTTTTGATTATCAACTCAATATATCAACTACAAATTTAAAGCTAAGTTATGCTAAGATATTAATTCTAAGTTATATGCAATATAGAGAAAGGCACTAGGGTCGTGACATGTATCTAGGTGATCAACTAATGGGTAGAGATTCCTAATGCAAGAATGATGAATATGGGACTTATNTATGCAATATAGAGAAAGGCACTAGGGTCGTGGCATGTACCTAGGTGGTCAACTAACGGGTAGAGATTCCTAATGCAAGAATGATGAATATGGGACTTATGCTATAACCGTTGCACTTTTGCACCCACTTTCACACCTCCTGGTAGAGAGGCCAATTGACTCTCTCGAGACCAATTGGGTAGGCCAATTTGCCCAAGCAACTTATGGTTCAAATTGGGTAATTACTCTCTCGAGGTTTAACCCGTTAATTGGGACTACCGTTCTCATGGATCCATCCCAATTCCTTGTTGGAATTAATCTTGGGGTCATAGACTCTCTTTCTCAAGAAGTGTCTAGACTCGCTAAGCTAGACTTAGTGTTTGCAACCACCAAATCTTAATGAAAACATAAGATTAATCCAAATAACAAATACCCAACATCATTCATGCACTAAACAATCACACCCATTAATTACCCACACTAGGGTTGAGCCACAACCCTAGCTAATGGGTTTAGCTAGCCATAATAGAAACAGAAATTGAAGAAATAAAAGATGAAACAACCATATTAATTAATTGCTAATGTTAAACTACAATAATCTATGATGAAAACTAAGCTAAAAAGGCCCAAGATAGGCCAAAATATGAGTCTCACGAGCTTAGCTGCTATCCGCCCAAAAAACAGAACTAAAAAAACTGCTCCTAAAAAGTAAAATGTTCTATTTATACTACATAGGAAAAACCGGACAAAAATACTCTTGAGGGACTGGTGCGGACCGCGCACAAATGACGCGCCGCCGCGAAGGGTTTTGGGTCTTCATATCTTGCTTCTAGCACTGGGGACGCGGACTGCACAAAAGTGATGCGCGGCCGCGTGAACTTCATCCACGCGGACCGCACTGATTAGGTGTGCGGCCGCGTGGGCTTTTGCCTTGAATGATTTAGTCTCTGACACTCTTAGGCGCGGACCGCATGAAAAGGGGCGCGGACCACACGGAAAGGAGCGCGGACCGCGTGAAAAGGAGCGCGGACCGCGCAGCTTGACTTAAAAATGGCATGGCCTTTGAACTTTCCTGTGCGGCCGCGTGGCAAAACAATGCGGACCGCACAGGTTGACCTTGAAAATGCCCAGCCCCTGAACTCTCCTGTGCGGCCGCGTGACAAAACAGTGCAGACCGCACAGGTCATTTTGTTCCCCCCTTTTGTTGTCTTTTGACACTTGGCAGATTTCACTCCTTTTTGAGCCGATCTTTAGTATTTGTCATCTTGTTGCTCAAACCTGCAATCAAGCGCAACTTGTAAGCATTTTGGGATTAATTTATGGCAATTAATGTACAAAGCTTAGGTAAGAATGGGTATAAAACATGTAGAAATCACAGTTATCAACTCCCCCAAACTTAAACCTTTGCTTGTCCTCAAGCAAATAAAATGAGACCTACCCCTCAATGGAAAACACCCAAGTAATTCCTGTTTATCCTAAAGTAACCTCAACAAGCATCAATTGGGACTAACAATTGCCCTCAATGCGAATGCATCATTAACACATTTAAACTTTGAAAACTTGTGGATCAAGTGTGACACAAGAGCATCAAGAGTTGACACATTTCATCAAGGAACCTTTCTCAATTTCTTTGGTCATTGTGGAACCCAAACTCACACATCCTCGACTTTCCCTGAGTGAACCTCACCTTTTAGAGTATTTGCACACAAATCGAGGTGAATGGACTTCTCTCTCATCTCTCACAAAGAAAAGGCCCTAAGTCCGGCTCTAAGTACCATATGCTTGCCCCTTATGTAAGTATCCACTAATGTAGGCTTCCCTCAACTCAAGATCATATAGGGCTTTTGAGGAGTCATTGTGAAGGCTTTGGGTAAAGGTAGGACATGTTTTTGTTCAAATGGGTTCAATCTTCCCTTAAACACTTCTTTTGATTTATTTTGGCACACTTTCTTGACTCAATTGAGTAATTCACTTCTTTCAAGGGGTTAGAGAGACACATTGTCACTCTTTCTTTTGCAATTCAAACCCTTTCTCCTTTTTACCACTTTTCCACACCTTTTTCACTTTTTTGTTGTCCTTGGATTCCCTTTTTGGTTCTTATTCATTTTTGTCTTTCTTTTTGTCTTTTTCTCCTTTTTTTTTCATTGCCTTCCTTTTCTTTTTGCTTTTGCGCCTTTTTACCATATTGATGTATTTCTTGCCTCTCCCCCCCAAACTTAGACATTTGTCATTTACTCAAGGGAATATTTGCGTGCCAAGAGAGAGTTTCGTTAAGAACGGGTATAGGCTTGTAGCTTGGTTCATGAACGAAAAAGGTTTAAGGCTCAAAAGGGTTGAACTAGGGATTATTTCATTGGTAGGTCATGGAAATTGTTCAAATTTTGCATTTTGGATCAAGGAGAGCCTATAATCACGTCTCAAGGCAAGTTCCACCTATGATTTCGCCTCAACAAACATTCAGGGCAAGTTCTAGACCATCGGCTCGGTACTTAGGCTCACGATTCGAATTCTCACTACACACACTCAAGGATTGTCTAAGACGGAGTCGAGGGCCCACAACGACCTTAGATATTATTCAAGTGCACAATGGCCCAAAATGACC